CCCGTCCTGCGTGGCTGCGGCTCGCCGCCTTCTCCGGGAGACAGGAGGACTCGGAGCCCGTGCTGTCGGTGCCTGCCGGATGGGCGGGGMTCGGCAGAGCGAAGCCGGGCAGGCCGGTGGCTGGCTGTGAAAGCTGCGTGCCTTTTAGAGTTCCTCGTATTCTGCTTCTCTTGGTGACAGCAGGCAAGCCCCACAAAACTGCCTAAGTTTTCCTACTAGGAGCTATCCAGGTTCGATAAATGCGTATGTTATGGGACATGAATGCACCTGGGCTTTTTATCCACTCTGGTTAAATGCTCTGAGTAGCTGTGGTGTCTGACGTGTGGTGCAGTGCAAACCCTGAGTATCTCATGGTCCTGTTTTTTTCTAAAAATGCTGGTCCATGCCAGTGTGTGACACATCTGGACCCAAAGCTGAAGACAGACTGGCACACCTGGCCAGATGCTCWGTAGCATCTGCCAGGGATCAAGTTTCCTTGGGACATGCCAACAGTGTTGTTTGGGATCTGAGCCCAGAGGATGCCACAGCCCTTTGCACCAACCAGCATGTACATGACTTATAACCTGCATGTTTCCTCCCTTCCCACAGCGCCTGACCAAACACACCAAGTTTGTGCGAGACATGATCAGRGAGGTTTGTGGCTTTGCACCCTATGAGCGACGTGCAATGGAGTTGCTGAAAGTGTCCAAGGACAAACGTGCTCTGAAATTCATCAAGAAGCGGGTGGGTCAATCAACTAATAAGGATGGCAGAAACGACATCAGCTGTCTTCTGCCCTCCCTTAGGAATAGCTGGCTTTTTAATTGTTGTTTTCAGGTGTTTTGGAAGTTATTGATGTAATCAGGAGTGGAGGGAATGTTCCTTGGGTGGGGTGGGAGGGCAGGAGATGGATGCAAAGGTACTTTGTCAGATAGGCCTTGAGCTCACTGYTCTAGGCTTCTCATACTGTTTTTCCATGGTTTGCATGTCTGGTGTGGGGAAGATGAGAGCAGCACTGATGGAAGTTGGGTACCATTAACCAGGAGACTTCTAGTGGGGTTCCTTGAGTTGTAATGGTTATGAGAGCTGAAAGCAGCCTCTTGTCCCAAATAACTGTTGAGGTACTGCTCAGGCAGGATGGCAACCTTCTGGCTGGAGGTTGAGTCCATCTTTCCAGGACTTTACCATTTTGCTGTTTTTGAGTTGTCTGCAGTGAGAGCTGCAGCAACCCCACTCTGTGCTGTATAAAGACTGACTGCCCTGATCTCTTCCTGCAGGTTGGCACTCACATTCGGGCCAAGAGGAAGCGRGAGGAACTCAGTAACGTCCTGGCAGCCATGAGGAAAGCTGCTGCAAAGAAGGATTGAGTTGTACAGGYTGCAATACAATAAAGTCCTTTCTCCCAAAAGCAGGGTAGTGAGTATTGTTTGGTACATGTGCTTGAGTGGGTGCTRCTGGGGGATGCTGACAAGGTCCTGGATTTCAGCCATGAAGAACTTGGGTCAGTGATTTATTGTACTTGCAGCTGGAGATGCTGATACTGGTGCTGCTATGACTTACTCTAGAGGAGAATTCTCAAGACTATGTGCAGTCTCTAGATGAGGAAATCTGCAGTAGGTAAATACCTTCCACCTCCTAGTCTGTCTTCAGACCTAGATGGTGGTAGGGAAGTCAAGTGGGCAAAAATGGCTGTTGAAATAGCAACTGCTTTGCACTTCTTTCCCAGGGCAGCTTCCTCATGCAACTTTGCCTGCTCCTGTGTTTCCCCTTGTACCCTGTATTCATGCCTGCTTTCTGCAGTGTGTTAACAAGTCATGAAAGACACCTGGAGTCAGCAAAAACTCCCCTGACTTCAGCAGCTGCATTCTTTATTCTCCCCTAAAGGCTCCCTTGCTGAGAGATGACAAGGGCTGTTCTTCCTGGCTGAGGATAATACTTTTCAAATAGACTTCATGCTATTRCTCTTTCCCTTTTAAATGCCTTTTTCTTAGTGTTCATTGGAAGATGAAGTATTGAAGTTCTCTGGCCCCTAAGCCTGTGTTTACTTATGTACAACAGTCATGTCAAGMCATTTAATTCCTTTTCTCATTTCCTGAATATGATACAGCTATCTAAGGTGCAGCACAGTGCTTACTGCTGACACTGAGCATGTTGYTCTTGGGCCCTGGTCTGGTCTCTTTAAGCCTGGAGTTCTTTCTGGTARTATGAACCTGGTGACTGAACCTGGAGAACCATGTCCCTTTATCAGCTGAATGTATCAGCTCTGCTCAGCTCTTCTAGGATTTCRGTGTCCTTTCAGCTTTGCCTAGGCTTTGAAGCAGAGACAGATTCTGAGGGCTACTGGCTTTCCACCACATCAGGAATAACAGGTGTACATCAGYCCTCTCTGGGTGCACTGTTCAGTCCTTTTCCACAAGCCACATTGGAATTTACAGTGAAATAGCTGAAACATCTTTAATGAGAAGCCCCAGACCAACCCCAGTGCTGGTGGCTGATAACGTGCCCATTCCTTTGGCAAAATTGGAAATCCTTTATTTTAGATCATAATTGACTATTAAAGAGTGAGAAATACTTTATTCTAACAGAGCCATAATTCATTTTGGCAGCTGCGCAGCAGCAATAGCTCCATGTGCCACTTCAGGACTGCCCCCAGTGCAATCTGGGGGAGTGAGTGCTTAGGCACAGACCAACTTCCAGCCATCAGGGCACAGGGTGTCATCCTCCAGTGAGAACCAGATGTGAAAATGCTATATCAAATACCTCTTTGTAGTGCTCCACAAAGTGCACTTCCAGTCCTTCTGTAATGAATCCAGCAAGGTCATAATAATCCTTCTTGTTTTCTGATGGCAGAATGATGCARGTAACACCTGCCCTCTTCGCCTGTGGGGAGAAGAAAGGTGAGCTTTCTGTTAGTGCTAGAAATCCTTCCACGTACCAGAAACACCCTTCCCATTTCTGAAACAAGAGCAGTTATTTAGGAGCATGATCCAGCTTTACTCTCTTTGGAAAGCACCAAGGGCCTTTCTGACAGGTATCACCAGGGTGAAGCATTTTCTAGATGCCCCCTCAGGCCCCAAAACACTCTCCAGTGCCATGTCAGCTGCAGGGATGGATGAAGGGGAGGCATTTTWATTGGACTATGTCAGCAGCTTGGGGGGTTGTTTAGAACATCATACTATTTTACAGTTTTAAGTGRCTGTTCTAGCTTGGGTGAGGATAAAGCCTAGGATGAAAACAAGAGTTGGTAGCAGCTGATCTGTCCAACCTACCCCATCAATACCTTTGGCACAATTATACAGAACCTTTTGACAGGGACACCTTCCCTGGAACGAGCACATAAAGCAGAGCTGCTCCTCCCATCACTTCAGGGTGATCCTGCATTTGGCCACTCACACTCCTGTGTAAGTGCAGCCAATCAGCACCATAGCACAGGTTAGTCCTACTGCTACAAACAACKACTCATTTTTAGGTCATACAAGGAAAAGAAATCACACTGCACAAGGCTGTAGCCCAAACATAACTAGGGACAGAACACTGATGTGGAGCCCCAGCTCAACAGARGAAGACCTAGTAACATTCTTGACAGAAAAACGGTGTGGTGCAAGCTTTTGTAGGTCAGAATAGTGCAGGTGAAAAGTAGGGAGATTCAAGGCTTGGAAAGGAATTCTGAAAACTGCAAAGGGTTGAAACCAAAAATGTAAGACACTAAGTTCCTTCATCTAAAAACAGACATCTGTATGAAGTATCAGACAAATTCACACTGCAACTAGGAACAGAGCCTTGATTTTAATAATGTACCTTAGGGATGCTGTCCGATCTCCACTGGATGCCCTCCTTAAACAGACAATTCAGCACAGCACAGGTGATTGAACTGTGCCATTCTGACAGAGCAAACAGCTCTGACAGCCAGTTAAAACTGTCAGTCACCTTCAATTCTGCCAGTTGAGATGGAATTGAACTAGGCCAACACAGTTGCCCTGGCCCAAAGCCTGRGGTCCCATCCCTTTCCTCAGCCAGAAACACAGCCAAGATCCCCATGTTCCCTTGCAGGCTTTTCCAGCCTGTGTATGGAATGAAATCACTGCCTCTCCCMGTTCAAGGAGCAAACCCTCTGACTGCTGTGTCCCCACTGAGCCCAACCCAGGGCTCTCTCCCATGGACAATGCACAGAGACAAGAACAGAGCTCTTACCGCAATAGTCTTCTCCTTGATTCCACCAACAGGAAGAATTTTTCCAGTCAATGACACCTCTCCAGTCATGGCTACRTTCTGCCTCACTGGGCAATCCATGGCCAGCGACAGCAGAGCTGTTACTATGGTACATCCTGCGCTTGGTCCATCCTTTGGGGTTGCTCCCTGTTTAAAAAAATAAAAGCACACTGCTCATTCAGGGAGACAATACCTTGTCTTTGTTGTTTTAACATTGTCTCAATTTCATRAAACCTCACCAAGGTTTTTGCATACATGCTGTTGGAATCCTGCTATTTGAATTGGCTGACTTATTAACAACTAACATTCCTCACCTTGTTCATGAGGAATAATCCATTAGTCCACCATGTGGTTTCTGGCCTGATGCCACCACCATACTCATTGGGCTCAGGTCTTTGAATAAGCTATATTAGTAAAAAAGAGCACAAACACTTTGAAGCTCTTTGTTAGACCTAAGCCAACCATGGAAACAACAGAAGTCAACATCACAAGGAGAGAGCATCAAGAGTCACAAAGTAGTGGAGGTCAATACTGAAAATCATTCAAAGCAGAAAAGATCAGTATATAAAGCCCCACAAAATCCAGGCCTGAACTAGTGACTGTCTGGACTTATCTGTGATCAAACCTCTTTGAGGTAAGAGCAGAGAAAATCAGTGAGATGGAGCAGAGACAAGATCATGTCTGCTGTTTTCTCACCTTTCAGGAAATTAATTCACTGACAACAATGCAGTACCTGGACAAACACAGAGCAAGCTGCAACAGGGACAATGCACACAGAGCACCCAGTAGACTAGAAGGAAAGCTTGGGCACAATCACATTACAAAAYCTGTCTTCAGTGAAGTACCTGCCCAAAGCTTGTTACACAGCATGTCAGCCCCTCTGAGCACTGTGTGCAGCCCCAAATATTGGACAAATGCAATCACTGCCATTACATGGAGTAGGAACTGTGGCACAGAGATCAGGAGTATAATTTTCCATTATGTGTAAATGACTTTAAGCCTTTAAGAAGGCCTGGTAACACAGAGACCTAAACTCTGGTGTCCATGTAACTTCATGCAAATGAAGTTATCCAAATCACTTATCTCTATGTCATGGTTTCTCCACCTGCATAACAGAGCCAACAGCTACAACAAAGGCTTAGGTTTCCTTAGGAAATTATTCCAAGCCCCTATATTCTTGCCACGTGCTTGCTGTAGAAAGGAATGGAAATACAGCTCATAAGACRACCTTCACAGGAACCTGAAGAAAATGTCTTCATTCCTGGGTTTTACTGCTAGGAGAGGGCATTCTGCACAACATATGGACAAATGAAGTGCCTTCCAGCTTTACATCTAGGGGAGCAAACCAGCCTGGCTCCTATGCATGCTCTATGAACTCTCCTTCAGTTTACCTCTGGCACATGCAAGTGRATATGAGAAGACATAAGAAAGTCATTGTTGGGGTCCTTCTGCATCAGAAAGGCTCTTGCAAATGTGTATGCAATTTTGGCACTCTCTTTCATTACATCTCCCAGTTGCCCTGTTACTTCCAGGGATCCATCCTTGTTCTCCTTGTCTTTGGGTCGCCTCAGGGATGTTTCAACAAACAGAGTGGAACCACCTAAGGAAGAAAAGAAAAACAACATCTGAAAAATAAGTTGAAGGAAAATCAAACCAGAAGGTTTTGGCGATGCAGAAGATATGTCAGGCRTTTGGAACTAATGCTCTCTGATGAGATACTAGCCCTTGGGTAGAGAGCAGCTGAAACCTCTTCCTCAAATACCTTCAGAAAAGCCAGCTAGAAATCCCAATAGTCTACATTTGTTGCTTTTTTGGACTTCACTTTCTAGGAACACAAATGCAACCCCTACTTAATTGAAATAATCAAATTCTTATAATGATTTCAGATTATTTGTTTCCAGAGAGTAAGCTGAGTTCRTATCGTAGAACACTTCTAGCCACTTCAGTTATCCAGTGCCAGGTATCTATTTACCTTCTCTACCACATGGATAATTTGCCTCTCAATCACTTTAATTCTACCCAAAGTCAATTTGAGTATGCAGATGTCATCTCCTTTGCTGTGTGTTGTATTTCCATAGGGCACATAAGCCCCCAAGTTACTAGGGGAGTAATCCAATGAATAAGTAAGCAGCCAACTGCACCCACCCCACAGAGTGCTGGAACATCCATACCTGCCCTCAACATCAAATGTCAAGTCAGTGT